CAAGATGCTGGATTTGTAGATCCATGAAAGAGCTTTCAGGAAGTTAAGGGGAATTTTGGCATGAACATCTGTGCTGAGGAATTAACAATGTGAATGATTCACTAAAGCATCAGTAAGAACAGTTCCATAAGGTTAGGTGCCACATTGTTAAGGAATGACTAACCTTCAGTGGGTACGTCTGGTCATTCCTCAGGGGAACTGTGTTTAAGCAAGTTCATTTCTTTCATGGAAAAAAAAATCTGTGGAAACCATTGTTGGTACTTTTGAGAAAGCTTTTATATAACGCGTTTCCAGTAATCCCCCAGAGACCTGGAATAATTCTTATTGCTACAAGAATGCAAAGACATCTGCCAGTCATATAATAACTGGATTTTAATCTAATCCCAAGGCAGGAAAGACAAGTGGAGGAATGCTTTAATCTTCACTAATTTGACGTGAGGAGAAGTGCTGAAAGACATACATAGTCTAACTGTAGAATAGTGACAATGTGCACTAATTAAAAGTGGGACAGGTTCTCAATTGGTTTTGAGAATATGATTTTGACTAAAGACCTCCATGTTAAGTTTCATGTTCTACTATTTTAATTTTGCTTCACTAAATAAGATCTCATACTCCACTGTGTTCCTGTGTAGTGTAATGGTTGGAGTGCTGAACTAGGGACAGTTTTACACTGACCACTTATCTCGAGGTTGATCCAGCATGGGGAATGCTGGATCGGCCCCAGGATGGTTTAGGGTGGTTCCCCACAGCCCTCTAACCCAAGAACAATTGCGTTTTAAAAACATGATTGTTCCCAGGTTCTAGTCTACACACACCCAGAAAGCTTGTGTTTTCTGGAAGGGGGGCAGACACCAAGATTTGCCCCCGTTCCTCGCTTTCTTGCAGATAATGGTACATTCCAGGAAGTGTGCTCTGAGGTCTAATGGCATCTGCTGAGTTTTTCACAATTTTTAGGGCTTTTCTGAGGGGTTTGGGGGGGAGGCGTTTGGGGGTCATCTCGCACCTTATGGGCAGGCCCCACAGAAGTTCCAGGACTTCTACTGGGCCTGTCCATACAGGCCTCTTAGCCCATCAAACCTGGGTCTTTATTTATTTATTTATTTATCTATTTATTTATTTCAAGCATTTCTACCCCACCCTTCTCAACCCCCTAGGGGGGACTCAAAAGTGTGGATCTAATGGGCTATCTAATTAATTCAGGATAAAGCAGGGGTTTCCTGCTTTGTTTCAAATTAATCCTTTTTTACTGGAGGCGTCGTTTGGCCACCCTCCATTTTGCTACAGGAGCTTCTGGGATAAAGGTACTGTCTAGATGGGCCCTTAGACTATATACCACCCCACCACCAGCTACTGCAGAGGCAGGAAGAAATCCTGACTATCCTGTCCCATTTTCACCGTTGCAGTGGCCAGGGGAAGTGACATGGGTCATACCTGTCGTTCATTGCTTGGGGCAATGTTACCAGGATGCCTGAGCAATGAGAAAGTAGGAATGGAAAGAGGAGGAATTGCCCCTAACCCGGTTCTCCAATTGCCTTGTCACTTTGTCTGGGGTCACTCAAGGCAGAAAGTGACTGACCTGAAATATGTCACTTCGTCTGGCCACAGTGACAATGAGCATGGGATGGGATGGCCAGGACTCCTTACTGCCTCCACAGTGGCTGGGGGTGGGGGGGTGGGGGGTGGGGTCAGGACAAGGAGAACAGGAGGTGACGGTGAACTGCATGGAGAACAGGAGGGGCACTGAGTCTCTGGGCTGTCCAAGCTTAGGGAACACAGGATGGTGTGTAAACAGTTGTGGCTGGTTCTTTCTCAGAACCATTTACATGGGACTAAAGTTGCAGTTTCCTCTGAATTCAGTGGGAGAATTCTGAGCAACCTTCAACTTTGGTTAATAAAGTTCAAGGCAGTATTAAGCAGCATTGGACTGTGTTAAAACAGATCAACTTCATGCATTGTTTTGCTGCCATGGAACTGAATTGCTAGCCCTTTGTGCAAAGTTGTCAGTGCAGATGTGCCCTAAGATTCTGGAAATGTGTATATGTACCTTCAAGTCATAAAAACTCTATGAACTTTTCATGGGACTTTCTTTAGACAAGTAATATTCTGAGTAGGTTTTGCTAATTCCTCTCTCTGAAATAGCCTATGGGTAAAGGTAAAGGTAGTCCCCTGACATTAAGTCCAGTCATGCCTGACTCTGGGGTGTGGTGCTCTTCTCCATTTCTAAGCCGAAGAGCCAGCGCTGTCCGTAGACACCTCTAAGGTCATGTGGCCGGCATGACTGCATGGAGCGCCGTTACCTTCCCGCTGGAGCGGTACCTATTGATCTACTCACATTTGCATGTTTTCGAACTGCTAAGTTGGCAGAAGCTAGGGCTGACAGCGGAAGCTCACGCCGCTCCCCGGAATCGAACCTGCGACCTTTCGATCAACAAGCTCAGCAGCTCAGTGCTTTAACTCACTGCGCCACCGGGAAATAGCCTATAGCTGCTGGTAATTGTTGATGTTCTCCCATTCAAGTTCTAACAAGGGCTGACCCTCCTTGGCTTCTGAAGGCTCTTTTACACTGACCTGTCAAGCAGGCTTGATCTGGTGTCCCAGTCATCAGATCAGGCCCCTTTGGTGCCCCCCCCCTCAACCCCCTTGGAGGCGATACAGAGTCCCACTGCCCAGCTGTGGTTTGGCGCTGCTGGGCAGCCATCCTAGTGGTCCCCTTCCACTCCGCATGTCATGGTTGCAGTACCCACACCTACCTTATCCTGGGTGTTCTGGCCGATGTCAGCAAGAGCACAGGCTCACTAAGGCAGCTGGGAGGGGGAGAGGGGAGAGCAGCAAATTATTTCTGATTTATTGTGAACATAAAGTGAGCATTTTAACGGGTTTTCTTGACAGATTTTGTTTAAAGTGGATTTGCCTTCCTCTGTGGTTGAGAGGACTTGCCCAAGATCATACAGTGGATTTCTATGGCTGGTCGGGGATGATTCAAATCCCTGCTTAACTATGGGACTTCACAAAGTGATCTTGAAAAAGGTCATACCTTCTCAACCTAAGAGAAAAGTAATGGCCAGTCTCCACTGAATAAATCTTGTGAAGAAACACATGACAGGGCTGTCATAAAATGGAATAGACTGGAAGATACATAGCAACAAGAAATGTACTATTGAAACTAGACACTTGATATCTTCATCCTGTTTATGAGGCATGCATTTGTAACCTTCATCTCAAGTTAATAGTTCAGGAATGGGAACTGCTGAAAGGCTCTAGGAATTTTGCCAGACATACATGCAACTCAGACAAGGAAGGTCAGGATGGAGTTATTTTTTTAGGTGGCATTTTTGACATGTGCTGATTTCCATTTTAATCTAAGTACTTTTTTTTTCGCGCGGGGGACCTGAGACAGAGACTCTATAATGATTGAATTAATGTGCACAGAATGTGCTAAATTCCCCAGTACTTGCCTTTTATAGTTATGCTCTTACCTAAACAGTTCAGCTAGAACAATTAAGAATAACAGTTTGATCCCAAACTTGGAGCTTTAATGTATTTACATTTTTTAAATTGTGACTTTGAAATGTCTGATGTTTTCTTCATATAGGAAACAAATTTGGAGAAGAGGCATGTAGGGATTTCAAGAATTAAGGGGGGAAGGAAAACCTCTGTTGGTTTAGCCCAGGGGTCCTCAAACTAAGGCCCGAGGGCCATATACGGCCCTCCAAGGTCATTTATCCGGCCCTCGCTTAGGGTCAACCTAAGTCTGAAACTTCTCATTAGCCAAAAGCAGGCCCATGCTTCCCATTGAAATACTAACATGTTTATATTTGTTAAAATTGATCTTCATTTTAATTATTGTGTTGTTTTTAAGTGTTTTTTGCACTACAAATAAGATACGTGGAGTGTGCATAGGAATTCATTTATTTTTTTCCCCAAATTATAATCCGGTCCTCCCAACAGTTTGAGGGACTGTAACCTGGCCCTCTGTTTAAAAAGTGTGTACACCCCTGGTTTAGCCTCATGTTGAAAAAAATGAAAAAACAAAAGTTCAGTGAAAAATTACATTTTGATCATGTACACACACATACTTGTGTGAATCAATGTACATACAATTACAAATAATTTACATGCAAAACTCACAGTTCAGACCAGGATAACACATTATAAATTACAAATCAACAAGTTTTTTAAAATCTAATTCAGTAACATAGATTTTAAACCAAAATTTACTATAAGAATGGGTAAGTGCACCACCTAAAGGCTTTGGATTGCAATTGCCAGAATTCCTCACTATTGTCTATGCCAGGCATGGGCAGACTTCGGTCCTCCCAGTGTTTTGGACTTTGGTTTACTATCACACATTCTGTCACAAATACATGACAAGCGTGTCTTGAACCTTTTAGGCTATGAGGCCTTTTCCAAATCTATGATTCTGTCTAACAACTCAGAGCACTTCAGGATTTTAAGATAATTGGATATAGCATTTATATTCATGTATAAGTCGACTTCATGTATAAATCAAAAGCAAGTTTTAGAGCCAAAATTACGAATTTTGATATGACTAATGGATAAGTAAGGGGTCATTCTACAGAGAGGAGAAAGCATCAATACTACTGTAGATAAGTTGACCTAGTTTTGGGGGGTTGATTTCTTACTAAAATAATTTGACTGATACATGAGTATATACGGTAGTAATGGGCAGCATTGTATCTGAAACATCTTGCGAGGTTTACAAAATGTGGATTTTGTCCAAGGTTTACAAAATGTTTTAATTTTAAAAGCTTCTACCATATAGGTCTTGCATTAAACAGAGTATAATGGTATGCCTTCCTATCAATCTATCTATACATATCCACACACTTACATTTTTGGAATGTGTAAAGCTAATTTCACTTAACTTTGAAAGTAGATTATGAGCAGCTTTTAAATTGAATCTCCATTGCCCTGTTACTGTTCTTTTCAATGTATATATTCAAGAACCTAAAATATCTGTGCAACAACTATTTTTATAGGTATCCAGCTGCCGAAAGAAGATGATGTTTCAATACCGGTGATCTCCAATTCTCCTGCTAAGGAAGGAGATGACAGTTCCGATTTGTCGGTTGAGGAGGAAGAGAAAATCAAGGAAGAGCCTTTAACAATCTCAGAATTGGTATATAACCCCAGCAGCAGCTTGCTCCCCACTCCGGTTAATGATGAGGAGATTGACCTGCTCTTTCAGTCCTCTCCAAGGGCAGAGAATGAGAAAGACGACACGGATTCCTTTGAAGAACTGGAGGCTGATGAAAATGCATTTTTGGTTGCCGAGGAAGAAGAGTTGAAAGAAGCTCGGAAAGCACTGAGATGGAGCTATGACTTTTTGATGGGCAACATGAAGATAAATGCGGCCGTGAAGAGCTTTTCGAGACTTCTCTTTGTCGGGCTTGGAATACTGCTGATTTTTTTCCCTCTTCTCCTTGTGCTGCTGGAATCAGACCTTGATATCTCCTTCCTCCACGAAATCCGCCAGACGCCTGAATTCCAGCAATTTCACATCGAATACTACTGCCCTTTTAGACAGTGGGTGGCCTGCAAAATAGACTTTGTCAGCCACTTGCTTGGCAGCTCTTAAAACAGTACAAATATGCGATGCAACTAAGGGCTATATTCAAAACTAGTGAATTTTAGTTAGTATTAGGTGCTCATAAACATTTTGAAGGCCATCAGCAAATAGTTCCTCATTTTGGATCCATAGTCGATTTCCAAATTCTTAAGTTTCCTTTCTATGTTTGAACAATTGGTTTAGCTACATGATGGTCTTACAATAACCAAAAAGCAATTTGTTTTTTATTTCCCTTCCTTGTCCGTGTTTATTAATCACTGAGTAGAGCTGAAGTTTATCATCAATATCATTACAAGCCATGATATACTAAATGTAAGCATTAGCAACAAAGGAAAGGTGACGCTTTTGAATATACTCCTTAGTGAAACAATCTCTACTAACCAATGCCTATACAAGCAACACTGATTGCTGGGATTTTCTTTCTCGGTTTGATTTTTCATTTTTAAAAATATTTTTATGTGTTTACAAGATTTTGGTAAATTTGTAGCGACAATAACTTCTGAAGATATTTAAGTGTACAGATTAGTAAAATAAATGCACAAGGGCATGACATAAATTTTTAAAATGTTTTAGCATTTTTTTAAAAAATTGAAGAATGAAATTCTTAAAGATCTGCACAAGACGGTGAATAGATAAGATGGAACAATCAGCAGAATCTGCTAGATGGAGTTGAAATCATGGGTTTCTTGAGGATTGGATAACATATTACAAAGCAGCAGTTATGGATTCTTTTGTAATGGTAATGTAATGGTCAATGTATTGTCGAAGGCTTTCATGGCCGGAATCACTGGGTTGTTGTAGGTATTTCCGGGCTATATGGCCATGTTCTAGAGGCATTCGAGAATACCTCTAGAACATGTCCATATAGCCCGAAAAAACCTACAATAACCCAATGTAATGATCGATTGTAGATGAACTTTGGGTGCCTTTGCACTGTGGGATTAATGCAGTTTGACTGCCTTGGCTCAATGCTATGGAATCATGGGAGTTGTAGTTTTTTTACAGGGTCTTTAGTCTTCTCTGCCAAAGAGTACTGGTGCCTCACCAAATTATGAATCCCAGAGTTCCATAGCATTGACCCACGGCAGTTAAAGTAGTATCAAATTGCATTAATTCGGTAGTGTAAATGCACCCAGTGTCTGGCAGGAGGAAATGCTTAAACCCTCTTCTGTCCACCACTTCTCTCTTGAAGCCTACTTTTCCTACTTCCCCCAATTAACACTAGTCATATGGGGAAACAGCTTGAACGGGCATTTGCAAGAGAGAATCAGGGTTTGTGAGAGAATATGTAAGCACTCTCTCCTATCTGTTGATCCTGCCTTGCAAATTTCCCTTGCTCCTGCATTTGTGTCAGTTGACAGATGGTCAAACTAATGTATAGTTCTGCCTTTGCAGTTCTACAAGGTGAAGAGAGGTGAGTATTTTCAGATGGAGGCAATATTGCTTTCCTTGCAGTTTGCCACTTCTGTTGGTGATAGAAAGGTAAGGCAGTGCAAGTATGGTTTTGTAAGAGGTTTGATGAATTTTGGATTAACTGTAGATTATTGTATATAACATAGAAATGTGGATATATGAAAAAGTTTAGATAGACCTACTTACTTAAGTACATTAGAAGCTTAAAATATACTGGTCTCTAAAAATAGAGAAAGACTCCATGAAAAGCATCCTGTCCCTCAAATTCTAAGCATTCAAAGATAAATTCCATAGTCCCTGATTCTATTCATTACCATTTTGTCATGATAAATCCCAGAGTCGCCATTTCATGTGTTATTATTTCTTGTGCATGATATCTCTTTGACCTAATATAAGTGACAATGGATGCACAATCTTTCCCCCCTTAAATGTGTCCCTATGACAGTGGTGTGTGGTTATCTTTGTTGTCTAGATGTGCTGGGGATTTTGTGCCCGTGTAGCTCAAGTCTGTCAAAGAGGCTATAAGTGCATAAAAACGTATATGTATAGAGACGATCAGTAGGTCCCAATTTTGAAACGGAAAAAAAGCACCAATTGCATTTTGTATTTTGTAGCATGGATTGCATGATCTAAGTTTTCCTCCCGTACTTAAATGTTTCAGTCACGGGACTCTTACAATGCAACCCTATACTTACCTACTGAGAAGTAAGCCCCATTAAAACCAGTTGAGTTTACTCCATATAAGCGAGTATAGGGATACTGCTTAAGTTGGGATTAGGGTGAACCTCAATTTTTTGCTTGAGTGGAAAAAAATCACTCCATTATTTTATTAGACTTGCTATAATTCATTTTCCTTTCTTTTTTCTTTCTTTTGTTTTCTTGGATGGGATTAGGTATCCCACGCAAGAAAGAAAAAAAAAAGTAAGGATGTGGTATATCAGATACATTTTTGTTTCCTTGTTTTTATGGGTAGTTATAGGAAGCTTTGATGATCTGCCCTTGTTTGTCCCCCATCTCTTAGAAGTACAGTGTTTGTATACCTGTTCAGAACCATTTTATCCAACAGAAACTCTATTCTTTTTGTGATCCAGAGGTTGAAATCACATATGACTTTTACTTTCAAGGTTTTATTTCCAGTCTTTGCCTTAGAGCAGTGGTTCTCAACCTGTGGGTCCCCAGGTGTTTTGGCCCACAACTCCCAGAAATCCCAGCCAGTTTACCAGCTTTTAGGATTTCTGGAAGTTGAAGGCCAAAACATCTGGGGACCCACAGGTTGAGAACCACTGCCTTAGAGTATCTTTTACATTACAGTTTTAGCACTTCGATGCCACTTTAGCTGCCATGGCTACATTCTAGGGTTTGTAGTGTGCTGAAGCACTAGAGCTCTCTGACACAGCATTTTGAACAGAACTGCAAATCCCAGGATTGCATATGAAGAAGCCAATGCGGCTGAATTGGTGGTATCAAAATGTTATGACTGTACAGTGTGGAAGAGATCCTATTCTTCACTCGTTGGAAGACTTTTACGTCACACATATGGTACATATTTAATCGTGTTGCAGCTTCCAGTTGAATCCTTTCTATTGACATGACAATCTAACCAAGAGACGTGTTTCTCTAGTTTCTAAAATAGTCAAATCACCTGCATTGTGGGAGCTACAGCTATGGGAACATGCAATATAGACTTTGCAGACAGTAAACTAAAAATAAATCCAAACTACTCTGCGTCCTATACCCCTTAATTATAAAACAGTTAGGTCCTGAGTTCTAACATGTAGGTTTTTGTCCATATTTGTGCTCCCGAATTATAGGAAGCATTTGTTGAGAATTCTTTAATTTGATTCAGAAGAGACTCCGGCCCCATCTACACTGCCATATAATGCCGTTTCAGGATGCAGATTAACTGCATTGAACTGGGTTATATGGCAGTGTAGACTCACATAATCTAGTTCAATGCAGTTCAATCTGCATTATATGAGTCTATGCTGACAATTATAATGTACGTCAAACGGCATTATATGCCAATGTAGATGGGGCCTCAGTTGTGTGAGGGACACAATATTTCAAAGAATGGTCTGTAAAATAAGGATGCATGTAGTGTTAAATGCAACTTCATGTAGATGAACGTTTGGATGTACAGTATGACCCCCTTATTCACAGATTCGATATTCATGGTTTCACTTACCCATACGCCAAAAAGAAAATCCTCCTCAGAAAGGTTTGTGAACTTCTGAGGTCCTCCAGTATGATTTCATGGTATGCTTCCAACTCATGTCTATATTATCCATGGTTTCAAGTATTCACAGGGGTGGGGTGAGGGTGGGATGTACTCTCTGTGTATATGGGGTTCATACTGTATCTATGCATCTTTGAACCTTGACAAAACTTGAAAGCAGGGATCGGGCATGTGTGGCCCTCCAGATACTGTTGGACTGCAACTTTCATCACTTGCAGCCAACATAGCAGTGGCTGATGGGACTTGTATTCTAACAATATTTGAAGGGCTGTTTTCTGCCCCCAGCACTTGTATCCTGTTGCATGGACTTGAACGGGCCCCTCTTTAGAATAAAAAAAAAAATCAAAAGAGGGTGGGGAAAAGATGCATATATAATTTACAGCATGTTCTGTATAGATTGAAACAAGGTCTTGTCTCCAGTACTGGCAATATGAGAGCTGGCGTATGAAGAGTCCATAGATAGTATAGTGTATTTCTGTCTGTGCTTGGAATATAGTGTAAGATGTTATGTACTTGAAATCTATTTTGTGATTTGTCAAATATTTATAAACACAACTCTGGGAATAATTAAATGGGGTTTATTTCATTGAAATGCAAACACACACACACACCAAAATTTGGGGGAAAATGTACCTGTAAACTTGAGCCTTATCTTTGTAAAGTGAATTTCACATTTCTATGTCAACATCATGGTTGTTTTATATGTTAATAAAATGACAGGACTCCCTAATAAAATATATTGAAAAAAGCCATTGGGTGAATATTTCTTATTGTGCTGTAAAGTAATTTGGCATCAAGGACAGCAGCATGGGTTGTTGCGACTAAGGTCGTAGGCATGGCATTTAATAGCAACTGGGTTATGATGGAGCTTAAAACTTGAATTGCTAGCCTACACTTAATAGGATCAGGTGTACTGACAGTTGTAATGGTATGTGATCATGAAAAATTTGACACTACAGGAATATATATTAAAATATTTAGAATTAGCAAAATTATATATGTGGATATTGTGTTTTAAACAGTTGTTACATAATGTCTGAGATGCATCATCTTATTTGGACACGTGTATTAATTTATTACATTTATATCCCACTATTCCACTGCCTCTGTTTGTTGTTGCTGATATTTATTTATATCCTGTCTTTCCCCCCAAATGGAAGACTCAAGGCATCTTACAAATGAAAACAAATGCAACAGAGTCAAAGGATTCTATAAAATGTCCCCACTAGTTGTGCTTGTGAAGGTAGTGGGATTGAAAGAAAAACCCTTTTCTGAGATTCTCAGCATCCCTATGATGGCACACCAGGAAGATCTAATGAGAAACTAAATGTGTCTGGCTATTTTCCCAGTGACCATCGGTATGCCCTAAATTACTTTAATGCCCCCAAAAATAAAACTCTAAAAACAAGATTAAATTCAACAATTGTTTACTAAATAATCAAGGTATAAAAGTACAGTTTGATTTTGATGGTGTTAGAACAGTGAAATATAAACTCTGAGGTAACAAACTATAATTTCTATGAGGTAAGTATAACTACTAACTATGGCATATTCTATAATCTATAAACTCTAATGCATGTATGGATATATCTATTCTTTATTACATATACTATAATCTATAATCTATGGGGCATGTATATCTGGACTATCTATAAGGCAATTATTATCTATTCTATGGCAAATATATGGCAAATATGTGTTATCTATGAACTATCTATCTATAAGGCAAATATGTGATAAGGATGGCCTGTTCAAATTGCTAGGCCAGACCAGACACTATCTGGCTAACTAACTTCAAGCTATGACCAACAAAGAATGCCATAAGAAGTTCTATCACCAGCCCATTCTGGCTCTGAGTCAGAATGGGCTGCACCAACTGAGCTCGGCCTCTAGGGGGAACCTAAGCTTCTCCCCTAAACTTGGCAAAATGGAACAGTCCAACAGGGAAATAAACAGGCCGAGACTTCACAATCCCCCTTTTTCATTCCATCTCAGTGCAAAAATGTGTTGTCTATAAAACAAGGTGTAGTCAATGCATTGTCGAAACCTCTCATGGCCAGAATCACTGGGTTGTTGTAAGTTTTTCAGGCTGTGTGGCCATGTTCCAGAAGCATTCTCTCCTGATGTTTTACCTGCATCTATGGCAGGCATCCTGAAGATGCCTGCCATAGGTGCAAGTAAAACACCACGAGACTTACATACAAATTCAACTTAAGAACAAACCTACAGATCCTATCTTGTTTGTAACTTGGGGACTGCCTGTATACATGAATATATAGGTAAATTAGATGAAGGAAAAGGGGGATACTTCTCCCCTTTGCAGATTACACCAAATTGGGAGGGATAATTAATATCTCAAAAGAGAGACCGAGATCTTGTTGGCTACCAAAACTATCACAGCCTAAATGCATTGTCAGGGAAAGGCAGAAAAAGATGTTTCTGCTACTGTCCAATGGAGAATCTGATGGCTCTCTGCAATCCCTGGCTTCCAGTTGTTCTGGGAAGACTACTTTGGAAAATCACCCATCTCATGCTACATAAGCGGGATGCTGGACTAGACGAGCACTGAGATCCCTTCCAATTCCATGAAATGAGGCAGTTATGGAGTTACACTTCCCTATCACATTTTCCAGTATGTAGAGAAACATCACAAAAAGTAGCTATGTATTAATGTCTTTGTAATATTGGAATTATTCTGAGACTGTTTTGGTTCTGCTTTAGAAATGTTGTTCCCTGAACATCTTAGATAAAAATGTATGTAAATCCAAACACTGATGAGACAGCACCACCTGCTGCCTCTTAGAATAACTTCAACCCAAGAATTTATTGTGAAAACATCATATCTGTGCTGATTATATAATTCTGTTTATAGACACAACATGTAATATGCCCAGAATGCCACACGATGACTCACTCTAGATTAATATGCAATATTAAACAATATTAAGTCTTTCTTTAGAAAACTTGGACGATATATTTGAATATTTAACAAAAATCTTTTTTTAAAGTCTTTGCTGGAAACAACAGGATAACTGAGTCACCTAAGAGCCTCACCTCAATGGGTATTTAAAACTGCACAACTTAAATTCTGTTGCCACTTCCAGTTAGAATAGTCCCATTGAATGAACTGGACGTAGATAAGTGCTGACGTATCATTTAGCAATTGATCCAGTCCATATGTTCTAGCTGAGACTAGCAGATTTCAGATATAACTAGTCCTGTACACACTTACAAGAATGAACATTTGTGTTCTTCCAGACTTTCAATTTCATCACCCTGGCTATATTACAGTGAATCATTTCTTTGTTTGTTGTTCACTTTAGAACCTAATTTTCCCATTTTCCTCATACAAATGTACTGTCGTCTAAGAAATAATCTGACATGTTAGTCTGAAAGGCATGGAAACTCACCAAAGCTTTGGTATAATTACTGAATTGAAGATTACTTTTTAACTATTAGAATCCAGATATTAGTGTTAGTCAAGAAACAGTTGAAAAAGAAAGGGTGGCGGCGACTTGGTGTTCATTAGGCAGTAGCATGGCTTCATGACCTTATATTGCAGTCTCCCTTCACTTCCCTACTGATTGACTGAAATCATCCACAGGAATTCATCGAGGTTTCCATATACATGTGGATAATTCTTGTTCACCATCAGCTGGGACTTTTATCCAAACTAAAGATTCTCATTTCTGCTATTCTCTCTTAGCCAGCCATGTAACACCCAAATTTTCCTATTCAATTTTTCCAGACTTAATCAGATTTTAAAATCTGGATTGCCTCATAAAGTCAATCTGTCATGAGCTATGGCTTAGATTGTAATTGATATGACAATATCTGCCATTAGACATGTGCACAGATCCATTTTAGCCATTTTCCTTTGGTTTCTTCGGCTTCTCCAGATGGCCATAATGGCAAGGGCTCAGTGGCCATGTTTTTTTTACCTGAAATGACCCACGTGGCTGCCGGGCATAGCTTCTTCCCTTCTATTCAGGAGCACGCAGCACATGCTTCCTTAACCCTGTTCCTCAAACCCAGGCTCCCTTGAAAGGAAGAAAGAAAAGGAGTCCGGGAAGGGTGCTTCCTTAACCTGTTCCTCAAACCCAGGCTCCCTTGAAAGAAGAAAGGAAAGGGTCACAGGAATGGAAAGGGGAGCCTCGTAAGTTCCCCACTGCTGCCAATGGGCCAGATCTTCCTGGATCTTTCAGCTGCCTAGCTGAAAACAGGTTTTTCCATTAGCCGATTTTCAGAAGGGTCCCAAAAACGGATCTGGGTACCCAATCAAATTCGGATACCAAAAACGGACTGCCCTTCAGCCAAGTTGCACAAGCCTATCTGCCATGCAGTTCTAACTACCGAAATTGTTGGCAAAACACTGCTCTTCTTGAAAAATAAAATAAGAACCAGGTATTGTCCAGTTGAATAAAGGTTCCAGAAATGAACACTCTTTGGTGAATTATTTACTTTACATTGATTTGTTCAAAGATTAACACAAGATAACAGATATACCTGTTGTAAAATGATCTGGAAGGCATACTCTTGGTTTGCTGTGCTTTTGCACCCTTTTCATTGAAATTCTAGGTTGAGATTAGCCCCTCTTCAATCTCCTGCACAACACACCTATTTTTTGAAAGTACAAGGTGTTTCAAAAATATGGAACCAATTTGAAATCTTTCTTCCTTTGCAACCACAAACTGCACATGAATGAAACTCTTACCATTGGAAAAGGTGGGGTACAGAGTGTACTTGTATGACATGAGTAGAGGAATTCCACAAATAATGCAAACTATTCTTGGAATAAGATACAGTTTAATTGTGTTTACTGTTCACCCCAGAATCATTTTTAAGCCCATATTTCTAAATCTTGTGCACTACCCTTCATCATCTTATTTTTATTAAGATCAATAATCTGAAATAAGTTCTCTAGAGTTAATTATAACCCAATAAATAATAGAAGTGGAGTATTATTAAATCTGTCATGCCTTAAATATGTTAAAGTCTGCCTTGTCTCCTCCTGGCAGTGCTTCTTACTAGGCCCACTTAATTGAACAGCCAGATATTTCATCAAAATAATTAGCTGCATCACAATATGGATTGACTGCTGGGCTTTGAAATGAACAACAAAGGAGCATCTGGGAAAAGAACATTTTAAAATTCTAAACTGACATGCATAAATCCATTGATCCTGGTATTTTGAGCACATGCTAGGGGTTCCAAGCACAAATTGAGTATTAAAGGAGACAGTGGTCATCCCTGCTTTGAACCCTGTTTTAAATATTAAGAAATATCCAGCATGTGTTCTAGGAAACTCCAAATGAACCAATATTGTGAAAATAAATGGCTAATAAAAGCCCCTGATGGCACAGTGGGTTAAACCGCTGAGCTGCTGAACTTGCTGACCGAAAGGTCAGTAATTCGAATCTGGGCAGCAGGGTGAGCTCCCGCTGTTAGCCCAACTTCTGCCAACCTAGCAGTTTGGAAACATGCAAATGTGAATAGATCAATAAGTACCACTCTGGCAGGAAGGTAACAGCGCTCCATGTTGTCATGCCAGCCGCATGACCTTGGAGGCATCTATGGACAACACCGGCTCTTTGGCATAGAAATGGAGATGAGAACCAACCCCCAGAGTCAGACATAATGAGACTTAATGTCAAGGAGAAACCTTTACCTTTACCTTAAAATCTGTCAAAAGCTTTCTCAGTATCCAAAGAAATGCCTGGCTGATCAGTTTCATCTGGTTTTAAAGCAATCA